TACAATTCAAGTGGAGTGAGTAGATTGCGCCCGTACACAATCTCAAATGGGTGTCTCATAGTCTGACTCACGGATCTGTTGTAAGAAAGCTCAGATTGAGCCAGAATCAAATCCCACAGCTTAATACTCTTTCACACAATGCATATCAGAGGTTTCCTCAAATTGTTGTTTATTACCTCCGTCTGGTCGTCCGTCTGTCGGTGAGCTACTGAACCCAACTGAAGCTTAGTGTCCAGCTTCCCCTTACAAGGTCCTCCAAAAGTGACTCAGAAATTTGGCGTTCCTGTTGAAAGTGAAGGTCTTGTGTATCCCGTGCAGTCTCACATCTCCCTGCAGTGCAAGTCGGTGAAATGTGATGCATTCAGTGTTCGATAGCGGGGTATGAAATGCATCATCTTCTAGAATCAATCCACCACATCCATCATAGAATCCTTTGTTCCAATGTGTTCTCGAGAGACCCACCACAAAATCAATGCTGACGTCCACCCATGGTGCCTCTGGTATAGGTAATGGGGTGTATAGTCCTTCATTTTTTCCCCTAGTTTTGGCCAAATGACAAATCAAGCAGTCTTACGTGTCGCTCTACATCTCTCGTCAGTCGAGTCGAAAAAAAACGCTCTCACAAGTGAGAGTCTTATCACTATCAAAATATTTTGTCAGTCCATCACCATAGCTTTCCTAAACAATGGACTCCCTCAACGAACATCAAGGAATACACAACTTACTCTAGTAAAACAAGTAACCATAAGCTCTCCAGTGCTGCTTGGTAGGCTTCTTCTGACATTGCTCCAAGATTTTTCTAAAATCCTCATCTATTCCATATAGTTTCTTCCTACCTCAAAGCCTATGAATCGAGCTTACATCGCAGTCATCAGCAAGTGGTGACAGCTTAGTGCATTTGTTGCATGGTTCTAGCTCACCACATTGTGCTTAAGCGCGAACTGGAACGATGCTAAGAACTCCACCCAAAATGCGTGTTAGGACTTTAGTTTATTCTAGCTATTTAGAAATTTCAAACCTTAATGGTAAATGAGCAAAAAACTTGCTCGTCAATATGTAATGGCTCCAGTGATCAAGTGCTCTCACAATAGCATAAAACTCCTTATCATGCATCGAATATTTCCTTCATGATTCATTCAGTCTCACTGAAGAAGGCCATGGGGTGGCCTCCCTGGCTCAGCACTACCCCTATCCCCATGTTGGATGCCTCACATTCCACCTCGAACAGCTAATTAAAATGCAGTAGTGCCAGAACTAGGGCCTGAGTCACATTCTCCTTCAGTGTGTCGAGAGACTGGTCTGAGTTGCATCTATCCACTACAATTTCTCACCTTTCAAAAGCACTATTGATGGTTCTGAAGCTCTTGATGAATTGCCTATAAAACAATGCTAGTCCCAAAAACTGTCTTGGTGAAGGACTATGGTGCGGTCCAGCCCACAATGGCTTCGATCTTTATCGGGTCCATCTAAATGCCCACACTAAACACGATACGACCCAAAAAAAATACATATGCTATCAGGAAGTGGCACTTCTTTGGATGGGCGTAAAGCTTTCTATTTGCGAAATCTCAAAGACCATCCTTAGGTGTTGTAAGTGCTCCTCATCGGACCGGCAATATACCAGAATGTCACTGAAGTATACCACCACAAATTCCCGATGCGAACCAGAAGATCTTATGTACGGGACAACTGATTCATCAATCTCATAAATGTGTTGGGCGCATTAGAAAATCTAAACTACATGATTGTCCACTCGTATAGCCCATCCCGAGTCTTGAAAGTGGTCTTCCACTTGTCCTCTGATCTTATCTGGATCTGGTAGCAGTCGTTGCATAAGTCAATCTTAGAAAAGAAATGGAACCGTGCAACTGATCCAAGAGATCATCCAAGCGAGATATAGGGAACCGGTATTTGATAGTAATGTTGTTTATGGCTCCAATAACAATGCACATCCTCCACGATCCATTGTTCTTGGGTACTATCAATGAGATGACAGCACACACGCTAGTACTCTCTCTGACCAAGCCTCTTGCAAAGAGATCATGTACCTGTCGTTACAACTCCTCTTACTCTGCCTGTCTCAATCTATAGGTGGGCCAGTTTCACAACACTGATCCGGGTATTAGATCAATTGCGTGTTGAAGGCCTCTAAGTGGCGACAACCCTTCCAGAAGACTTTCAGTCATCATGTCCTAGAAGTCACACAGCGGTGGTTGTATAGGAGTTTGTATCTCAAACTCCCCTAAGTTCCCTCTAATAGGATAGACGCCATTGCCACTGGAGCACTCGAACTGACTGCATGAAAGTAGCTTTCGGGACTATTAGCTCCTCTATCTTTGTAATGTCTACTACTCTTGCATCCTTGATAAATAAAAGCATGATGTGCCTTCCATCCTTCTTAAAGGATAAGTATTTTTGAAGCTGTCATGTTGGTCTTGCAGTCGAACTGTTGTGAACTCCCTAACAGATTATGGCACACGTCTATTGGGATCAGATTGCACCTCACTTGCTCCAATAACTAATCCCCAATCTAAAATTCAACCAAGTGATGTTGATCCACGAGGATCTCGTTGCCCCTTTTCTACCAGGTAAGGGAGCAGGACTAAGGATGTTTTTTTTTTTTGTGGCCAGCCTCAATTTCTTCACCATCAGTGTGGATGCTACATTCTCGCAGCTCCTACCACGATAATCAAATTGCAAACTTTTCCTTTTACCGTGCACTTAATTTGAAAAATATTGTGTCTCAGCCTTGACTGATTCTTCTACTCCATCTGCAAAACTCTCTGTATGACTAGCATCTCCCTTATCTCTCTAGAGCTAAAGTTCCTATTCTAGATTCTCCCTTGATTACTCTTCCTCTACTTCGTTGACGACGCATTGCTCTGTGAATGAAACAACTCGGCTTGTGGGATAGTAGGAGGTTATGTGTCCGTGCACGTGGCATCTGAAACACCTGATAGGCACTTTGTCGAGCGAACTACTCTTTTTTGGCTTTTTCCACTCAGATCTGTCTTATCATTTTCATGTCCCATCTTTCCAACTCCTCCAAAAAAACCCCTGTAAGTAATTGTCGAAGTGTTGGTGGTTTTCTAAAGAAGGGTTGTTGCCTGCTCTAATTTTGTTATCTTTCCAATTTCAAATCTAAAGTCTAGATATTTCCCAGTGACCAATAGGGTTGCAGTTGTACGACTTTGCTAATAGCATGATTTAGGCCCTCCAGATAATGAGCTATGGTGTGTTCCTCGAGCTCAACCAACTCACACTTCATCTGTAACAAATCAAACTTCGTCGTGAACTACTCCACCGATAGGTCTCTTTGTTGTAGGTGGTGGAGTTTCAGAAATATATTTAATAATAATAAGGCGGTATATATTTTCTCTGCATCACCTTCCTCATGTTCTCCTACTTGGTAAGTTTGTTTAAGGTTTAGTCCCAAATTTATAAAAGTGTCAATTTAGTCTCTAACTTGAGAAGTGTCAAAATAATCCTTTAACTCTTTGCAGGGGTCATTTTAGTCCCAAGTTTATAAAATTGTCAATTTAGTCTCTCGGTTCTTTTAATATGAGAACTAATTTGGCACTTTCATAAACTCTAGTAATAAAATTACCCAATGTAAACATTCAAGGGACTATTTTGGCACTTTATTCAATTAGGAATACATAGTAGAACATATCCAAGTAAACCTAATTGTCAATCATAACTCAATCAAATAATAACACTCCAAAGGAGTCAATCTTCTAAAACAGCAAGAGCGCAAGCCCCATGTTCATTGAACTGCAATATTAGTATCCATTCAAATTTTAGCAAAGCAAAAATAAATACAATTAAAAAGGACAGCTCAGAGTTTGACAGCTAATAACCTAGGTTAAATGGAAGTAGGGGCATTTACACAATTCATAAGCATTTACAGATCTAAGCTCTAAACTTTAAATTTTACATTTATACCACCCTCAATTTTGGATAGAACCCCAACCCGAACGATCAACCTTTGGTTGCAAGTGAGCAATAGAGAGAGGGAGAAAGAGAGAGAGGGAGAGAGAGGAAAGAAAATAAAAGATTATGCCGAGACAGCGTCGGATGAGAGCTTGATGCAAGAGAGAGAGTTGGGCGAGAACTTAAGGCGAGGCCACGAGAGAAGGGGAAACGGAATGATTAGGGTGGTTTAAAAATAGCATTAATGTACCTTCAAACCACTACATGCATCATAGCCATTCCCCCAGCCTGTTCGATAAATCATACAACCTTATGAGCAACTTGATAAGCGAACGAGCCAAGTAACCTCCAGCACGAACACGAGATCGATAAGCACGCAAGTTTTAGTTCTAGCTGGAGTTATAGCTTCATAAGCCTAACTCGTGAGTCTATAATCGAGTCAAGCTCCAGTAGGCTTGTGAGCCGACTCAACTCGTTTACACCCTAAATAGAATCAGAATAACCAAAAAAATTAAACAAAATTATTTAATCTCTAATAGCTTAATCCACTCCTGTTATATGCAAAATCAATTATTGTACAAAAGGAAATAAGATAAGAAAAAAATTAGAATTATTTAAAATACAAGAAAGAAATATATTTTCTTAAACTGCCGTTTTTTTAACACCATTAACTTAAATTTATGTTAGTTTTTCTGGAAAAACTATTTTGGTCCCTGTTTAACAAATCTAGGAACTACTTCAAGCCTTCTATATAGTCTTGAACTAAAATAGGCTCTCACAAATAGTAAGGGGCAATTTTGGTCCTTTCCTCAAATGCCTGCATAACTCGAGGAGCTTGTACACGGTGGCTAAACAATGATCGGAAAAAAAGGAGGATTCCTCTATAAGAAAATATGCAGCAACAAACAAGTTTCTCCCCAACTTCTACTTCCAAATAAAATTTTATCTTATGTGTGCAGCACATCAATGACAATACAAGCCAAAGTACTAATAAGCTAAACTTCAGTTAGATGACATAAAACACAGCATGGTTTAGTCACAATAATAATAAAAGATCAAAGATAAACCTGCAATGTTTGTGCTGAAATTCGTGAATCATGACCGATTGAAACCCTAAGGCGCTTTGAAGCAGCTGGTTTCTTTTTTTCTAACAGCCACGCAGCGAAAGCAGCGCCAATTGCTTCTGAAACAGGCTCAGTAAGACTGATGGGTTCCCCCTCGACACCCTCAACTGCCACACCTCTAATATCACTGCAGCAATAGAACTAAAATTAAATCCCGGTAAATCTAACAGAAAACTTCAAACCGGTAATCATGAGGCAAGAATTTTATCATTCAGAATTAAAGGAATGAGATAATACAAGATAACGACATGTTTCAAACTTAAGAAAACGTTATTCATTCTATCAAAATTCAATATGAAATTGATACCCACATCTAGAAAAGAGGAATTTAATAACTTCTAAAAAAATTTCAAAACAGCAATGCCAGTTTGAACAAAATTATCGAGACAATTAAGTCTTTAGGAGTTAGGGGAAGGGACGAACAAGATTGGCTCATTCAAGTCAAAGATAAGAGTAAGACAGAGTAGAGAGCAAGTGAGAAGGATGTAAGAAGAGGAAGGAGAGGAGTCGTGTGCTTCTCATACCCGATGAACGATGTAGTCGTGTGCATCTCAAGTGAAGGAGTAGAAGGTGAGCGGTGTGACGTGTTCAAAAGGTGGAATCAGTGTCGCTACAGGTGACGAAGCCGAAGTCTAGCGAACTTTGTAGTGCGAGCGATGGTAACCTAGGGCTTTTGCAATTAGGAATAAGAAGGCCCGTTATATCCTAAATTGTTCAGGAAATCACGCACAAGGAGTAAAGTGAAGGAAGGAGAATGATAGGAAGAGTAAACAATAGAATGAGAGCATGTAACCTTTTATTCAAAAAAAGATCCCCTATTTATAATCATAAAAGATACTTGAAATGCACAAATACATCTAATGCCCCTTCACTGAAGAAGAGATACAAAGGTATTAAAGTCTTTTTTACAATTAATGCTTCCAGCCTTGACAATAGAAAAACTTGATTGGTCGAGGAAAATTTCAGTCATTTGTATCGGATCCCTTCGTTCGACATTAGCAAGTCAAACGATGTGAGGATCTCATAGGTGTTTCTTGACTGAAAACACCTTTTGTTTAGCCCTAGTCTTTATACAATCTTCTTCTTTCATCCAACATAGAGCTTCTTCCTTCGTTCGGTCTATTGTGTCCGTCAGGCAATGTTTAGAGGTGGCCGATCAGATAAACCTTCACAATGTCCTTATCCTGGTCCAGCAGTGATTATGATCCCATATCAAATTGCTCCTATTGACCAAGTCCTCATGACCTTTGAATGCGAGCCCCTCCTTTTCAGATGTCCACATTCTAAGCTTGCCTCAAGATCCGTGCTAACATGATTCTGCCATACAAGGCCGAAGTTGAGTAGGTTTTTCGTCGTGTGGCGTCGAAGAGGAAGAAGGGACTAGGAGAAATGTGTGCTTGCGTGCATAGAAATAGAGGCTCGCATGCCAAAAAGAGGAAGTCGAACCAAGACTTTATAAAAAAAAGTGTTTATTTTTTTTAATATACAGTCATTCTGAGAGTTACTGAGATCTGGTATTCATTTTTTCTTCTTCCTAGATTTGTAAACTTGTCAATCATCTGCCAGAGGTAGTCCCGTGTGAACAATATGTAGATCTTCAAAGAAGGTAAACTGTTGATCTGACTCAGCCTGCAGCACACCTTGATCCTGACACTCCTCCATAACTTGAGTACCCTCTTATCTTGCAATAGATGGTTCCAAGACACTTCTGTTAGCATATGTTGCAACAAAATTCATAGAATTTATAATCTGAGGAAGAGCTGCCTCAACAACAGTAGGCGGAAGTTGTTGGTCTGGTTGGTGAGGAGTAACCTTATGAGTCAAATTCTCATTCAATATTTTTGAAAGATTAACAGTGTCTGCTATATTTTCCTCCACATGGATTATGTTGTTAGGACCTGCCAATCTCAAATGTGGGTGAAGCCTGAAGCATTTGGCAGGGGTGTACCCAAGTAGTTTACAGTGATTGCAGTAGTAGGGTCTTTGTTCTGCTATAATTGGATGTCAATATCCATTGTGGGTAGTACCAAGTCATATTTTGTCCACATCAGGGAGAGTGATATCCCTTTCTACAATAATTCTTACAACCGAAGACCTGATTAGATTGAAGGTGGGTGTATCCAATTTCATAGGTTTCCCTAGTACAGCTCCAATAGAGTAGAGAACTTGGTGGTCGAAGTAGTGCGACTTTAGGCCAGATAGTTTAAACCAGATTGGATCTATAGGTGATTCTTGACTGGGGTCAAATTCAGGAGACCACTTAAGCAATTTCATATATTTTCCCTTTATTAGCATAAATATTGTCATAAACTTCTTGGAAAATATTTTGGTATAGTCTTCCACTTTAGATAATTGTATCATCACATGTCTCCCATCAAAGAGGTCAACCTTCCAAATTCCCAATAGTTTGAGATCTTTAAACGATTTCCATTTTGGGATGTCCCGATTGGAACTTCCCAATGAGGGTGAATTTGAACTTATTAACCAGGTTGGAAACTTCAACATAAAAGAAGAAAAGAGTCAGTTTGTCACTCTTCATATCCGTCTTCTTGATAAGGTTGCAATCCTCCTGGCCTTCGAATGATTCATGGTAAACCTGATGGAAAACCTGATCTGATCCCATAGAGTCAACCATATCAACAAAAGAAGTCTTCCCAAGGTTTAAAATTGAATTAGTCGGTGGTTGAGAAGGAGCAGTAGCCATGGAAGTGAGTTGAACAGCTGCAAGCTACTTGAGCCTGGACTGCGAGTAATTCACAGGACGGACGCGAGTGCAAAGCTGCAGAAGTTGGAGCTGTAGGAGACTACAGGAGGCGTAGCTGAGAATGGAAGACGCGCGACGAAGAAGCGACGTCACATGACGCAGAAGTCTTCCAGCGTGAAAGAGCCGAACGAACGAGTCGGAAGCCGCAGAAGCGCGACAACACAATAGTTTCACAATTAAACTATCCAAAAAGACTACAGCATCTTCTCCTGACAATGGCTTCTCCCAGCAACAGCTTCACAACTGTTTCTTCAAACAAGTGCAGTTTAAATATAATAATCATTTCATCACCCATTATCCTTTTTTTCTTCATGTAACATTCACCTTCGATTTCCTTCTTACAAGCTCTTGCTTTCTTATTATGAGGATGTGGTCTTCACAACAATAGTTGAACTTAGGCCCTGTTTGACTGTGTTGTCTTGTGCTTATTGTGCTCTCTACATTCCAACTCATATTTAAGTCATAGTTGTTTTCACTAAATCGTTACCTGACCAAACCATCTAAGAAAACTCTAATTTTGTTCGTCACTGGAGCTACACGAACCCTATCACGGATATATTCATTTCACATTTGTCTCTAAGTGTAAAGCCACTGGTCCACCTAATCATTCTCATCTCGGTAACACTTAAATTAGTATTATGCTTCTCTTTTAAAGGCCAACGTTACGAACCATAGAGCATTGCAGGTCTCGCCACCATCTTATAAAATTTTTCTTTCAATCTAAGCGGTGCTTTTCTTGAGCCAAGCTACGAGTGGCTTATCGAACGCTTGATTCGTTTGCAACACTAATTAGAAGTTCATTTTCATGCATGAAAATGAAAACAGGAAACATTATCTAATTCTTACTTAGAAGCATTAGTTTCCACATGGATTCCATTGTGCAGCTCGAAGAGATGATCTTTATTGCATACCTCATTGGCTAACTAGACTATGTAATATGGTAAACAATGTGGAGCCACAACTAATTGTGGGATCAAGGCTTTGTTGTTGTTGTTATTGTATTAGTGTTGAGTGATGTATCACTTTTAATGTAAAATTTAAGACGTATGACTTTTTGTAATATTTTAAAGTTTAGTTGTGGCGTTATGTTTAAATTATTTCTGAAAGTATGCACTTGCAGTTATATTCTACAAGGGCATTTTAGTATTTATTTTAGAAATAGTTGCAACACAATAGATTCACCATTAAACTATCCAAACATACTACAGCAGCTTCTCCTGACAATTTCTTCTCCTAGCAACAGCTTCACAACTGTTTTTTCAAACAAGTGCAGTTGTCTTAAATAGACCCTTAAATCTACATTCCATCTCATATTTAAGTCATAGATGTTTTCACTAAATCCTTATCTCAAGGAAGCTTCAATGATTAGAATACCAAGTTGAGTTTTTACAATATCTGGGAACTAGCTTGAGGGGGAGTGTAAAATTTTGTCCCTATTAGGTGGCCTAGACCACTGGCCACATGGGCCCCACTGGATCAATTTGTAGAAACTATTAGAGGAAGTTTCTTATTTCAATTCTATATATTTCTTCCTTCTCTTTCTTTCAGCCTTTTATAATATCTGTGCGCCATTGTACTGCTATAAATCCTTACAATCTTCATTAGTAGTTGCTAGTCAGCCCGAATTGGCTCTAGGAGTGTCAGCCTCCTTGCCTTCAAAGAACTAAGGTTTTATCTCCTGAAAAACAGAAGGAAAGGATTTCAATCTGCTTATCCGTGTGTGATTACAAAAAAGAATTATAATGCAATTCCCAAAAATGAGCCAATACTTAAAAAGATGATGTTCACTAGTTTCCATGTTAAATCATAATAAATATGTATAATTATTTACTTTTCACATTTATTATCTGCTTATGCATCTATTCTGTGCTATGAAATAGCCTTTGGGTGAATTGAAATTGATATTGCAATCAAAAAAGAGTTTAAAATTTTAATAACCAAATTCACGCCTACATCGCCAAGGTTGTGCCTAAAACCCCTTCAATTTCCAAAAGGCTGTCAATTTCCTGCTAGATAGATTGCATAAAATAAGAGATGAAATTTTGCTTAATGACTGTAAGCTTGAATGTTGGATTGGCATTGAGCAATTTTGTAAGCACGTCGAAGCCATGTTAATGAGTGATGCATCTCTTAGTGCTCATCCCAAATACTTTGAGGGATGCCTTTCCAATGTGGCGGGTAGAAACAACACTTCAATAGGGAAAGGAATATGGAAGTTTGCTTCAAGGTAAGCCCATCTACCCAGAATTGCAAGTTAACCATTAAGAGCATGTAATTGGTTGATTGATCCCACAATTAGTTGTGGCTCCACATTGTTTACCATATTACATAGTCTAGTTAGCCAATGAGGTATGCAATAAAGATCATCTCTTCGAGCTGCACAATGGAATCCATGTGGAAACTAATGCTCTAAGTAAGTATTAGATAATGTTTCCTGTTTTCATTTTCATGCATGAAAATGAACTTCTAATTAGTGTTGCAAACGAATCAAGCGTTCGATAAGCCACTCGTAACTTGGCTCAATAAGAACTCGTTCATACTCATTTGATTAACTTATTAAACAAATTAGAACACAATTATAAATACTCAATTGTTAAATGAAGCTTGAATATCTTCATATTAGATTCGTTTATAATCACGAACAACATCATTTAAAGCTAAAGAACAAGCTCGAAGCTCAATGAATTGTTTCATTTAAAGTTCAAGATTAACCTCGTGAATAAGCTCGGAATTAATGCTTATGAATAAGTTCGATTAAAGCTTAATTTAAAGCTTGTAAATAAACTCAATTCAAGCTCAATTTAAGGCTTATCTATATTAAATTAAATTAGTTTTTAAATCATAATACATAAAACAAAATAAAAGCATGTTTGTTTAGTTGTCTGCTTATTTTATGCATTTGTATACTATTTAGTTATTTATTTAGTAGCATGTTCGTTTAAAGGCTCGTTTATTCTTGTAAGTTCGACAAGTAACTACTTTATAAGCTCGACAAAGCTCGTTTGATTATAAAATAAGTAGCTCAATCATATTACTCATTAGTTTGTTGGAAAAAAACTATTTAGTTAAAAAATAAATAGCTCGACAACACTAACTTTAATTTGTTCAATAAATATCATTTGATCAAAAATCAATTAGCTCCATAATACTACTCGTTAAGCCACTCGAAAATGACTCAATTATCATCATATGAAATGAACATGAACCGAGCTCAATCAATTAGAACAACAAATGAAACAAGCTAAACAAAAACTCAAAACTCGATTTAAGCTCAAGCTCAGCTTGAAACCTGAACATAGTCATGCTCGACTCGGCTCGGTTTGTTGGCCGCCCGACTTCTAATGATGAAGATTGTAAATAAATTCAAATCGGAAGACTTCAATCTCAATGTTGACTTTTTGCATCAAGTACTTAGTTGTTTACGCGCATGAACTTTATCAGTTAGCACTACTTCACTATTGAGTCCTTTGACGCACAGAAATTTTCCACTTAACACCCTTACAAACAAGGAAACTCACAATGAATATGCTCCAAGTCACCCTCCAGCAATCTTTAGAAAGAACAAAGATACAAATCATAACATTTTAAGGATACCTGATAATGCCCTAGCATCTCTAGACAGTGAAAAGACAAAATAATTACTTGGAGAAGATATATATGGATTGTTCAACATGTATTTACTAAAGTGATAAACAAATGTATTGATGAATACATAAATAAAATTGTACCTCCCATTCTGCAGTTTTAGAAAGTTGATTTTCTCATACGATGGAACATCACTTGTGCTAGTCGCAGCTGAAGAAAATAAGAAAAAAAAAAATGAAATATAAATAAATAATATTGCAAGATTTAAAAGGAAGAACTGCAGAAACAAACAAAATAATGTCGATATTAAGAAATAACAAGTAAAATTGACTTCATTACACACTGAACTTTCAACACTATGATGTGGAGCGGATATTCAAAGAAGAACTATAACAAACATATTAATGATTCAAATAACATTGTTTATTATGAGAATAATGTGGCCTACTAAAGTCAACCTTGAGATTAACATGCATGGTGAGTCTAGAACTAACCATTGCAATGAAAATTTCCTCTGTCCGAAATCCTATATGCTGGTAAAGAATCCAAATGAATTAACTGTGTTGCAGAGTATGCTAGCTTCATTTTAAGGGCGCACTTGTCCCCGGGATATCGTGTGTGAAATACGCTATTACATTTGTAATTGTACAAGAGATATATGTTTTCACCAGTCAACCCCAGCTTTGCTGCACCCAAATTACAAATCTATCATGCATCTCAAAATTAATTTATATATACTGTAGAAAAAAATAACAAAAAGCTAAAAAACTGCTAACAATTTGCTACCTCTTTGCCAATAAATTGCTAACAAATTGCTTATTGTCATAAAACTACCAATAAAGTTAACGAAAGAACAAAAGTAGCCTTAACAAAATAACAAAAAGTGGCCATAAGGTTTCAAAAACACTACAACCAAAAAAAAAATTCAAAATTCAAGTCTGCAATACAAAATGCCCAGACAACATCATCATTATTATTAGCCTCGACTCTATTATCAAAGCTTACTGTATGAATGATTATTCTCCATACATCGTAAGTAACATGTTACATTTGCTCTACCCTTATCTGCTTCCTCATACTTCCACATGAATGTATTCACCCGCTTTATTGGTGCATCTTCTACCGTTCTTTGTATATGACCAACCCCTAAATCAAATTTACCGCTACCTAATCCTTTATTGGTGCTGGTACAATTGTCCTAGTTGTATAATATTTCATAATCTATCCACTCTAATTTGCCGCATACATCTTAATATTTTAGTAACAGTCAACTTGGCTATAAGTGGGAAATCTATCATCCAAGACTAAGATCCATAAAGAGATAAGATCTAATACAAATATAAAAATTTACTTCAAATCTCTATGATATTGTCTCACAAATTACAATTGAGGTGCATCCTTATTTTGACAATCCCTTGTTAACACTAATAATTATGTAACCATACTTATGTTTAATTGATCCAAAATACTTGTCACAACAAGATGAAATGTGATCTTCTAGCAATACGGACTCATAATTATCCATTCCAAACCCAGTAATATTTAAGATCATATATTAAAGCAAAATTTCTAATAATCTTAAGATCTTATCGTCTAAATTGCCATCATTGTTTTATGCTTCACTTATTTTAACAGAGGATACACCAAACAGGATAGTATCATCTGCAAATAGCATAAGTGCCTCAGTTTGGATATCTTTTGTTAAACATCTCCACAAATAATATTAAGTATACAACTCAATTGTGACTCCGAATTTAATCTGATTGTGATTATAACCATTTAGATTACTCCAAAACTATTTCTAAAATGCTAGTCAAATCTTAACATGAAGCAGATTGCAAATCTTTAGAGCTAAACTCCACTTACACTCAATGTGAATGAATCATCAATTGCAAGTCTAACTTGATAAATATAGTCTAACTTACATGACCTAATGTAGCATGCTTGTGCTTACATCAAGTCATGCGGGTCTCTAGTGAAATAGCCCATCAAACTTGAAAGGACTTGGTCATAGCTCAAAGACCTATAATAGTCTATTTCTATACTTCACTCATTCCTCGACTTAGATTGACATAGTTTCACATATGGTTGAGCCTATTTGACTAAATGGCCACCCTCATGAACAATTCCCTCGTTGACTTGTGGCTTAACAAAGCACCAACTAATTCTAGGCCAACCAAGTTTATCATAAACATTTATTTTAGCAAAGCACTTGTGAAGATTTCATCAAAATCAAACCAACATGTGTGTTCTATAATTTATTGGATCGATCATGAAATGAGATCCTTTAAAAGCATATGTGTCATCTCAAAACTATCACAATCCATCCTCAGTACTATCAAGTTATCCATGACCAAATTTAAAAAGGATTAACAAGATTTACTAATGCATCATCAAGTATGACAAACATCCAATATATATATATATATATTTGTCCACCTCAAATTTCATGCAATTTAGATCGGCAATTTATTGTTTTATAAAAACTTTATAATTGAAATCAACTTGCATCGAATAGTTTGAAAAAGGAAACAAACTCAAACTTCAACACATGAATTATAACACTACCTACATATGCAAATCTAAAATCCCCTTGTCTAGGAGATAATCAAGCAATGTGATTAAGTAATCAGAAGAATTAGGCTCAATCTTGAGAAGAGTGTGTTCAATTCAACTCAAATAGAGCTATAGCTACTCAATCTACCTATTCAAAATTTAAGGACTTCATCTAACCTTAAGCTAATTGAAATTTGAGCTAATTCCCAACTCTAAGATGAATCAACTCAACCTAAATCTACTCTTATTTCAAATATAATTGTTGAGGCTCGACCATAAAATCATTAGAACTGCCTCAACTTAAATCATGTCAAACTAACCCAAATCTAGCCAAACCAATTTAAGTCTATGAGGATCAACTCAAGGCTGTTTGGCTTTAAACCAAGCTATACAAGCTCAACTTAATTGAGTTCAAGACTAACCTATGGTGAAGCACTCTAATCCACTAAACCCAGCAACTTACATGCAATTCAGCAAGCATAACGAGCTCAAATGCAATCCAATTCATACCAAATCAACTCACCCACATGGACTCAATTCTTACTAAAATATACGATCAATGTACTCTCAAAACACTTAGATGTGTGAATTGTTAAGTGCAATTAATAAAGTTCTAGCAAAACCCAGCTAATTCTTTCAACAAATGTCTCCTGCTATTAGTCAAATCCTTGCTTGCCTTCTCATTTACATTTGTTAATCCATCAAAATGAGTTAAGACGAAAAAGCATAGCATGTAAAACATACACCTTAATATCACCTAACATACAGATACCTATAGTAGCCGCCCTCCATGTGAAGTAGCCACCACCTATAAAAATGAACTTTACCTTTAACCATGCAAAAAATGCTAAAGAGATTCTTGTAATCTCATATTCTCTTCACTTGGATGCTCATAATCGTGTACGCCTATTAGCACCCCAATCATTGCAAAGCACCCAACCTCCCAATGTCAGGCCCCCCTCAAAAGACCCATCTTTTCATCATAAAAATTACTCATAGTCTCTGCTCTCTCAGCTCTCAAACTCAAAAAAATCACATCATCATCCTCATAATAGATCGATCACAACACACCAAGCTCCCTCAACTTGTTCCCCCAAAAGGCATATCCAAGCACCCACCTCCCATTTGGTCATCGATCACTACTACCTTAGTGTGGTCATCTTTGATCTTGCCTTCTCTCTCCTTCCTACTCTATCTCTCTCTCTTACTCTTTACTCTTGTTCTCACTTTTTCCTCTCTCATCCCTCGCCATCTCACTATCTTTCTCTCTCTTCCTCCGTCTCCGTCTCAGATTATATATATCTTTATTCCATATCCCTCTCTTTCTTTACCTTTCTCTCACTATCTCACACTCTCGCACTGACTCGTTCTTGCATTTAAATTTTTCAAGAGCAAAAACAAAGACATGAACACTATCAACAGCATTCACACCTGCATTTAATGCCTTAATGCCATGCACTCCAACCTTGTTAATGTTACATGCATTCATGCTTGACTACTTAATCAATATGCACATCCATGTTTGATGACTTCATCAAGACCGCATGCATTCATGCTTGAAGACCTCATAGACAATCCACATACATTCCACACCCAACGACTTCATCAAAATTGCACAACAACTTCATCATCATGCATGGATTAACACCGCATGCACTATCAAAGGGATATGACAGGCGCACCATAGTGCACATTTCCATATAAAATTTCTATAGGTTCATGCCCCCGCACTACAAATGACATCATTGAGGCTTGGATATATGGATATATGCTTACAGTGTGTGTGTGTGTGTGTGTGTGAAAAGAAATTTTGATCCCGCAATGGTATGATGTATTCCTACAATTACCTTCAGTGACGGGTGAGGATCAATTACCTTCAGTGGAGGGTAAGGATCGATATTTTGTTATTCCCCTTCAATTTTTCACATTGTTATAGTCCAAAAGAAGAAAAGAACTCGCACGATGAAGAATGCCTAAAGAAAGGCTTATCCTTGTGATTTAGTATGCAAAAAAATTGTGAAGTGAATTTGAAATAACATGATATGTGCTAGTAAGCCTATCATTGAGGTTTCAAGTAGCTTCATATCATTTTTAAATAAAGAATAAGACAACTGGATGTCATGAACATACACATGGATCAATGAATGGTTCCTCTGCTCCAGGGTGTTGGTTTAAAGAAGAGTAGGTGCAATGGCATCTCCCTCTAGCCATTGATATTTTTTTAGTGTAGCCTGTGCCTCATAAAAAACAATCACAACTTCATTTTGTTAGCATCTCTAAGGAAGAGTTAGGAATGCCATCGTGTAATAGCAATAGTGAATTTCATCAATGATTGGATCCAGTATTCTACCATTATATATTCATTGAAGTTGTAAAAATTTGCCCCCTATCCTACTTTTCTACAAACTTTGTTAGTAAGCCCTGTGTGGATTGAGGCTTGGCATTCATGAGATTTATTATTTTTAATTATTCCTCAAAATCAAATTATTTACAGCTGAAGTGCACAAAATGCATCTACTTTTATAGTTTTCAAGATTTATCTCAATTTCCATATCAACCCCCTTGCAAGTCATTTATTTCAGATTTCTTCATTAGCCAACGGTTTAGATTTTGAAAGTGAAGCTTAATTGATAGGAATGTTGCTCTATGATAAAGAGAGCATCCATTTAACATGTTGTGCATTATGTCGTTAGCTGTCATAATTGATTCATTACCTGTGGTAAATGTGCTTTGACTATTTCTTAGTTGATTGCTAGGTTGATTGTGATATCTTTTGACTCGATCTATGTTTAAGTTCTAAGTTACTACCAATTATGTGTGTGGTTATGGAGCTTACTGTTATCCGAGAGGCACAGAGAAGTGGGTAATGTCAATGCATCATTTTTTTTCTCATATTTGCAATAAAGGCGGCAAACATAATGTTAAGGATTTCTTCATTTTCGTAAATAGATAGATGCCTTGTTAACTGCTTAACATCTCTTTGATTTTGTATGATATTAATGTTCACATGAAAGGGTAACTTTGGGTAGTTGCAAGTGATTTGTGTCTCCATTATGGGCATTTTTTTCCTATCACTACTGATTTTCTACTTGGTTTCTATTTATGTATTTCATGATTTTGATGCCATTGCTTATCACAAAACATACACAAAAGAACACCAAACAAAGGCCTGATCTTGATAGAAAAATTAGAATCTCCCACCCTCCCCTCTCCCTCCCCTCCCTCCCTCTCGTATATAAAAAAATACTTGTAAACGTCAATCCAACCCATCATTCAACAAGTACATTGTTCATGAAGGTAAAGCGGAATTTTTCTCACCACTTGGTGCAATTGCTTACTTTTCCATATACACCAAGGACCGGATAAGTTGGGAATGTTTTCGTGGTCTGTGTTTTGGCAAATCATTGCTTTCTCTAAACACTTCTTTGTGAATCCTGGAAAACCTATCAATCCAGTTTCAACAAAGCAACACGACAGCAAACGCTGATGAACATATGTTGAATCGATAAAATGTACTCATGGTCTTGCTCTTATTGCGCACCTACGCAGATCATCTCGCTTCATCATCTTCGATCAAGTACCTAAGATGCATTCAGAACTCCTGATCAACAAGAAAAATGATCCCGCCGGAGATAAAATCGATAAAAAAATAAACCAGCTCTAAAGTTTTGGATCACCAATTCCACTGCACGTACAACGCCAGAGAATGGGAGCTTAAATAATCGACCGTGAAGAAGAATAGGAAGGTGGAAGAGGCAAAAGTAAAACCTGCCATTCCGACTGAAAGAATTATAGTGCCGGATGCTTGAAGATGGCCTGGAGCGATATCCTAGCCAGCCGAAGGGCCTCACTTCCTCGCTCTTTGTCGAGTCGCGTTAGCTCTGTTCCTCATGAATTGTAAAAATACGTTAGGCAATATCACGAACTAATTTTTTCTATAATAAATTTATTACATTTATATAAAATAAAAGAAAAAAAAATCAAAAGCATTTATTTTTGGTCTTTTTTTTTAAGAATCTGTTACTTGCTTTTGATGATTACTTGTGCAAAATTTGTCTTGAACTAAGTTCCAAGAAGTTTAAAATTTTATTCCGGCAAGGTTAGGATAATGTTTGAATTTGGATTCATAATCAAATAAAATTGATACATGTTCAAACTCTATTCGAATAAGATTTGAACATTATGCATGTACATCAGAAATGCGTCAGCATGAATCTCGAGATAATTAATGAGACTATGAGATAGAAAGTACAACTAATAAGGGCTCATTGGCGGAAGACGAAATGACTCATTCACTTGGCCAGATATAACCCACTGAATCAAGTGGGAGACCAACTTGATGTTGGCCATCTGAACCAAGGAATAAGGCCAATCAAGCCGAGCAGAGGCATCGATATGCCTATCGCTACAAACTAACTCAAGGGAAGAGTCAGTATCACTAGCAGTCTCATCATTGTCATCTTGTACTTCAGAGTTTTGTTATCCTCTTGGACAACTAACAGTAACCCCAATGAGCTATGCACCTCCGACTCTGTTTCCTTCTTCCACCTCTCAGCTACAATTGCCCGCCTCTTGGCGTCCTATGTCTGCTTTTCAGCAGCTTTTGTTTGTTCCTCTACGAGCTTGACCATCTTCTCAGCCTTATAAGACCTCATCTCGGACACTATGAGGAGTGTAAACTGGAGGCATGAAGGATTGAATGCCATCAACTAATTTCTTTTGACGGATTGGCACAGGAGGTTCTAGGCACGAAAATATATTTCAGAGTTGTGGGACCAAAAGACATCTCAATTTTTTAGGCAATGAGAGAAATGATTGGAGAGTTTGAGTGCTTGTCTCTCCTCATGTTGATGAGGGTGAAATGCTCGTTCTTACATGTGCAGACATTTTCTTTCTCCCTCTGCGTGGCGAGCCACGAGCGAGGGGAACCCTTCTTCTTTTGGGGTGGGGGTGGGGGGGAAGTGTCAGCTTACTAGTTAAGACTTTCTAGATCACAATTAAATACTTGAAAATAAAAAAGATAAAGTCTGCACCTTTGGTCCTCTTATCGGTGTGGGCAATCGCCACCCCTGCCCCACCTCCATCATCTCGTTGGGTTTTATGGGCATCTAACTCTACCCACAGTAACTTGTCTGCATACAGAACCTGATTGACAACCATCGGTAGAGTTTACTGGTGGACTGAGAGCCTGTCTGCCTTCAAATTCTTTTAGCTTTGTTTGGAGTCTCAAGAGGCATGAAGTTTTTTTTGTACACTCATCTTGTTACGATAGGTTGAATTCCCCAACCGCTTAAGGAGGACCCAAGAAAAAGCACAACTTCCAATTCTTGATTTTATTCACCAAGCCTAGAACTTCAAATTTGTTGGTCAAACTAAATTGAACATAGTCATCTGGGTCGACCCTGACTGAAATCATATAAGCAAAGAGCTCTAGTGATCATGGGATCCCCACTCAGCGGTAGTAAACTATATACGTCATTATCAAAGCTATGGAGTTAGGTTTGATCTGGGTGGGAATAACTCTGTAATGATTGAAGATCAATCATGGTTCAAAGCAAGGCGGCAGACACAAACCCCTTACGAACTGATCCTGATAGAAGATGAAATCCTCTTTGAATATGTTTGTCGACAGATCATACTCTTTAATGGCTCATAATTGAACGTAGGGTCAAAGACACAAGTATCTTGCAGTAGAGTCACCTTCCCTAGTGTCAGCACTGGCCTATCAATCACTAGGACTAACCCAAAGAGTCGAGGAAAGTGTTTGGAGCCATCTGAATGAAAAAAAGGGGAGCAAAAAATCAAGAGAAGGAACGAAAAAAAATTAGAGACAATGTCGCCAAAGCCTACATTCGGCCCTTATATATAGAGTAGTAGGGGGGAACAAAATCTTCACAAAACTATACCTTAATTTTGAAAATGTGACATCACATTAACACAATATTCAAGAAAAAAAATAATGGAAATAAAATTTTATTTATAAAATATTAAACTCAATTATTTAGAGAGAAAATATTTTACAAGAGGTTGATATGTTGCTTTGGCCAAGAATAATGTTCACCGAAGTAGCCACTTATATAATTTCTCTCCCCTACTACGTGGTCTGCCTCAGCCAATAAATAGAGCATCGAATATATATCCCGAACATCTGACAACTTCGACCAAAGGGAAGCTAACTCCTCCCATTACTTTTTTATTTCCTCATCTTGTTGCATCCCATCTGCGAACAAAGATTCCTCCATCTCATCAAAGCAGTGGGTCGGTCATCTTGGAGACATCCTGCATCCATTGATCGCCTCTCCATGAGCCACAAAAGGGCTGCCTTGGGCAATCAGCCACATTTTCTTCACTTTTAGGGCCCGTTTGGGGCAGCTTATTCACGCGACGGAGTTTTCAAAACGTCACTGTATCGTTTGACAAAAACGTTTCAATAGCGTTTTGCAGAACGACATTTGAATTTTTAACTAAAAGCCGGATGCGGCTCCTTGGGCACGATCTGCGTTTTGTTTTTCTTTTGGAAGGAGTTGCCCTCTTCGCTTCGCTCCCAGACACCATCGATCCTCTTCTCGTTTTATTTTTGCATCAGCCCTTCTGTCTCGCTAACTCCTCCTCCCTATTCTCCTGTATCTTCTGTCTTTTGTTCGCTGCTTTGTCGAAGGATTCGCTCGGGAATCAATTTGTGATGCTAAAGGATTCGCACACAAATGAATTCGTGATGCCCTAGTTCCTCTCCATCCTCAGACACACCCTCCAATCTTCTCCGATGCAAGCAGATCACCATGGGGTTGGCTTGTGGCACTGCTCTCGGTCTCCTCCTCCATCTAAAATTCGCAGCTGCACCCTCTAATCTGCTCCAGCGCAAGAAGTTCACCGTCTTCCTATTCATATGAACTTCATATCAACCTTATTCAATGATTTCGTTGAGATTTTCTACCGAGAAAGTCAAACTATAATCTAATTAGCTATATATAAAGGTATGCATACTTATCAATTGTTATATTTTTATATAAACGAGCATGAGGTGTTTGATGGTTTGCCCTATTTAGGCACAAATGACTTGAAACTAATTTTTGACATAGTATTTGCTTTTTATTTAAATTATTCGATGTATTTTCAATAAAATTTTGAACGTGCAAAAATTGTTGGCTTTTCAGCCTAGATATCCTCTGTTCTAATTGCTTTATGTAGCTTGAGCAGGCAGCTCTTTTCTCTATGTTAGAGTATATATCTCCTGGCTTGTGAGAAATCTGGTTCTCGTGCTTTTAAATTTCTTCATCTCTCTCTGTCTTTATTGACTCATTCATCAACTAAAAATGAAAGTATGAGAGGAGCTCTATGTTTAATTATAGTTTGAGAGAGATTCTTCACCTCTCGCTTAGAGAGAGAGAGAGAGAGAGAGAATAATAGAAAAAATTAGTTCATAATCTCAATATATATATATATATATATATATATAAGTTGGAGGTTTCCTTGTGGTTTAAACTGTACTTTGAGTTTGCTGAATGTTTTTGCTTCCTTTCTTTTTCTACTCAAATGCTTTGGCGGCATTTTTTGGAGTTACCTTTCGGTGCTCGTATAATTAGCCATGGAGGCCCATGGCTCCTTACTTTATGTTTGCTGGGATTATGCAGATGTTTTATTTCCTCAATGATTTCCTGTTCCAGATAACATGAAGTCTATTGCACCTCGTTAGGAAGGAATCTATAACCTGTAAATGCTAATTTACAGGAAGTTTATTGAACCTACAAAAAATTTGTTGTCGGCAACCGCTGCCTCCATAATTTGGTAAGTATAATTTTCTCAATTTTTTGGACTGATCTATTCTATTTTTAAAAACTGCAGGAAGAAGAGTTACAGTTGTTCAGGCAAGTCCGAGAAAGTGGTGTGTCGGTGCGGTCTACCATTCTTGCTACTCACGTCACACCAGGCACATAGCTTCGGGAGGCAATTTACAGGTCCCACAGTGGGCACAACGACAGGAGGACTACAAATTCTTCAGATGGGCCAATAAGGAGTATGTTTCTATGATATCCAAACTAGACACCACTGTTTAGAGTTCGTCGATATCAAAATTTCAAAACACCGCATCTGGTTCGAGTGCTTCCATTCCTACTGCATCTCAGTCAGACAGGTTTGCTCAGAGTTCTGGAGTGTCAGAGTCGGGCTACATGGGTCGTGATTTGCTCCTACATTTTAAATTCAACGTTATAATTTTTTTCCTTATCATTCTGACTTGTTATTTTTATTTTTTTTTTATCTCATTATAGTCCATATTAGTATGTGGAGGTGTATTTTACTTTTGTATGCATAACTTTGCTCGTTTAATGTGATCAGATATATTTGAGTTATATAAATCTATCTCTACTTATTTATATTGTCGTGTCTTAATATTTGATCTTTAATATTGTTGATAAAATAACTTATTCTACTACACATTATTAATTCAAAAAAAAATTTGCGAATAAGCTGTTTACCAAAAGCACGAACCAAACAGCTCAACAGCTTATCCAGAATAGGGGTAGATTGGTCATTTCTCTAGAATTAGCTATTCTCAAAACGCACTAACCAAACAGTCAGCCAGATTATCCGGATCAACTGCCCATCAGCAGATTATAAGGATAAGCTGCTTATCAGCAGAAACTGAATAAGTTGTAGCTGCCCCAAACAAACCCTTAGTCGGCGTTGGAGTTGCCTCAACTAGTCTCGAGACCAGACTCTGATCAATATCCCCTAGAGGTGAGTCATCAACCTATATCATCTTGTCTACACTAAATATTAGACAAAGAAAAAGAAAATTTTAGTCTAGCAGCAAGACTGCATCTCCTCATATCAAGGAACTAATCCAACCTAGGCCATCAAAGTGACAAGTTGCTCTCACAAGGTGGCAGTGGGGCGCTCATAGTCCT